AATGATTAAAAATAAATATTCAAATTTGGCCGCTTCTACTAAAAATTTGATTAAAACCAATTTAAAATACCCCTAGGCCAGTCCTGCCCGCTGAAATAACCAGGTCTTGAGGGCGCGGCGGAAGGAGGGGAGATCCGGAATCACCCGGATCTCTGGGGGCAGCTCGTTCCAGAGGGTGGGTGCTCCGACAGAGAAGGCTTTCCCCCTGGGGGTCGCCAGCCGACACTGTCTGGTTGATGGCACCCTGAGGAGGCCCTCTCTGTGGGAGCGTATCGGCCGGTGGGAGGTAGTCTGTGGCAGAAGGCGGTCTCGGAGGTAACCAGGTCCAATGCCATGGTGCGCTTTGAAGATGATAATCAACACCTTGAAGCGCACTCGGAAGGCCACAGGCAGCCAGTGCAGCTCGCGCAGCAGCGGCGTTACATGGGAGCGACGAGTCGCTCCCATCACCGCCCGCGCGACCGCATTCTGGACTAACTGGAGCCTCCGAGTGCTCCTCAAGGGAAGCCCCATGTAGAGAGCATTACAGTAGTCCAGGCGGGAGGTGACAAGAGCATGAGTGACTGTGCGCAAGGCATCCCGGTCCAGAAAAGGCCGCAACTGGTGCACCAGGCGTACCCGGTAAAACGCCCCCCTGGCCACAGCCGTCAACTGGTCACCCAGTGTCAGCCGTGGATCCAGGAGGACCCCCAAATTGCGAACCCTCTCCGAGGGGGCCAAAGTTTCGCCCCCTATAGTCAGCGATGGAGTCAGCTGACCATACCTGAGAGCCGGCAACCACAACCACTCAGTCTTGGAAGGGTTGAGCCTGAGTCTGTTTCTCCCCATCCAGACCCGTACGGCCTCCAGACACCGGGCCATCACGTCAAGGGCATCATTGGGGTGGCCATCCAACTCTGTTATTCTAATAAACTAATCACCGAGTCTTATGGCACCACCCCTACAGAATAGGGAAGCATTAACCAGCTTCAGTTGCATGGCCTACAGAAATTCAACTCACCTTCAGAAAAAGAAAGAAACAGCTCCCTAACTCCCCAAAACAGATCTATTTACAGCAGACATGCTTAGCAAGAATGCAAGGCCACTGGGCTGCAACACTGGACAGCAGGGATGAGAAGAACATATGGCAGAAAGGACATGGAATTGAGCAAGGCTGGGCAAAGTAGTTGCTTGAAGTCAACTGGTTCTGCATGAGAGCAGCTGAGAATCACTTCTGAAGCAGCTGCTTGGACTTTGTGAAAGGCACAGCTGCTTTTACAGCTGGAAAAGAGATGCCTTGTTTCTGTCCCCAAAGGAAGCAGCACCTTTAGTGATTTGCACAGCATTAAAATGGAAGCTCCTGGAAAGGGTCCGCCAACAGTAGCATGTTGCACTGTAACATTTTGCTGCAGAGAATCATCCCTACCAGAACCACCTTCTAAAGCAGTGGTTCTCAACCTTTTTAATGCCGCAACCCCAACCGGTCGTAAGTCGAGGACTACCAAACCGGTCGTAAGTCGAGGACTTTCCCTGCCCGGGAGCGCCGCGCATGTGTGGTTCCGCCCCCTGTGCCGGCCGAGGCGTAGCTGGCAAGCGGCAGAGACGGAGCAGGCCAACCACCAGCTGGCCCACACCAAGGGAGGTAAGGCACCCGCCGGAAAAGGGGAAAAAAATGGCGGACAAAAAAAATGGCGGACAGCCTTGCTTGGCGACCCCCGTGAAATGGTCGATCGACCCCAAATGGGGTCCCGACCCACAGGTTGAGAACCACTGTTCTAAAGTGTGAAACTGACTTGGCTTCCTCAGGGCTTAAATCCAACCCAGCCCCTGGAGTCGGCAAAAAGGTTCTGCCACTCGCCCTTTCATGTTTGTGCTCTGAAAATTTCACTTCATTTGGGCTTGTCACCAATCTTTTTGGGAAACACTGGATGCTGTGGCAGGACAAAAGAAATGGGAAAACCCAAATGGATGAGTTTTCTAATTGTATTTTGCAGGTTCCAAGCAGATGGCTATGTCAAGGCTGCTAATATCGGATGTTCTTCCTTGACAATATATGAAGAAGCAAACATGTTTTATTTAACCCGTGTATCACTTCTAGAGTTAAAATCAGACAATGTTAGAAGAGAGGGGGGAAAGTATGTACTCGGGGGATAATTAGCCATAACAATATTTCAGTACAGTATTTCCAAGGTCAGTCGTAACCAGACGAGTTACGGGAGGGGGAATTCAGTTTTTGGCTTCATTATGTACGTGCTGAAGCTATGTAGCAATAAAAGGATTCTTTAAGGTAAACAAGGCCTCAAAGTTCTTTGAAAAGCTTCTTCTTTCAGAACCATGACAGGCTACCTCAGTGCTATCTACAGAGGTCAACCAATTTTTTTTAAAATAGTTAGGTTTATAAAATAATCACTCCAGGGTCTATCCAAGCACTTTGGTAGAAAGTGAAGGGCTGCTGGGTGCCACTGACTCTCCCCATATCTAAATGACTGTGTAAATGTGTAAATGACTCCCCATATCTAAATGTGTATATCTAAATGTGTAAATGACTCCCCATATCTAAATGACTGTGTTCAAAGGAGGAAAGGTTTTAGAAAGCACTTGCCTGCAAAAGGGTGCCAGCAGAATATTCCTTGTCATCAAGGACAAGTTTTGAGCCATACCAGAAGGCCAGCGAATAACACAGGAAAATGATGCACCAAATGTAGCCTGTGAAGAATCCCATTATGATTCCCTTTCTGATCCCCCAGGTTTGAGCAAACACCAGATTTTTGTCATATCTGAGGAAAGAAAAAATTGGGAAGAGCACATTTAAAAAGATCATTTTGCAGCTTTCAGCGCTGAAAAATAAGAACTGGGATGCTTTATAGGAAAATTCCTTGTCATGTGGTGTCACAGCCCATTCTTTGCATTCCCAAGAAAGACTGGAAAAGACCCTTGCCTAAACTCTGATTATTTGCTGGCCTATCAGTGACTGGGTTCGCATATGAGGCTAAGCTATATTATGATCTGTTTAATTTTGGTTTAGCAGGTTGCATGAGCTCAGCCATTGTGGTTACTAACCTTTGGTTTACAACCTTATTTGTTGCATATATTAATCAAGAAACTATGGTTAAATACCTATTGCCTAGCACTATCAGCCATTCAAAGTAGGCCAGGTAGGAATCAGACACCATCAGGCCTACTTTCTATTAGGCCTACCACTCTGCTTTCTGTTGTTATATTCTATAACAGTAAAGTAAGTTTGAGAGAGATTCTCTCTCCTTCCCACTTATAACAATAGAAAGTCAAGACAGAAGAAACTTGAGTTTCTTCTATAACCCCTCCTGTATTTTTGGGCTAAGTAGATGTTTCTCTAATGGTGGTTGCATTATTCAAGGCTAACTCTGTGTTTTTACAAAAGCATAATGGATGAAGCCATCCACTTTGCAAAACAGTGAATTAAGGGAACCACGAGACTGATTTAGATTAAAGCTGCTTTCTAGGTCCCCATCACACATGTCCAGTTCTTGTTTTGAATTAATACTGAAAATGCCACAGGAAGCCATTTTGATCCCAGAGGCAAAGCACAAGATGGCTTTCTGATGACTCCAGGTGAGCTAAAAAAGATTTTGATACTGGCAACAAAAGAGGGATCACCATCATATCTGATGCTAGTCTAATTAAAGAGAAGGCTGTGTGACAGGCAGCACATGCTCACCTAGCTAATACATGGCCAACTCTACAATATTGCTGGTGTAATTAAAACAGCTAAATCTGAGGAAACTCTTAGGACATCCTTCCCATTTTATGCATCTGGCACAAGCTAGAGTAAAAATATTCCTGGACACAGCTTAAGTTTATTCTTCAAGAAGGAGCTTGTTTTCCATTGTCATGATATGTTAATATTCATCTTTAACACTTAAGCAATAATGGTCTGTTTTGATTCAGTCAGCTTATTTAGTGTTCAGAAGCAACCTTGGTATATAACCAACCTTTCAACTTCTTTTCTTTCTCCTCCAAAAGCAGCCACAGTTCGGATCGATGAGAGCACTTCATCAGCAATGGCTCCAGCTTTTGCATAAGCCTTTAACTCCAGACCCGTCAACTTTGCCACAGACTTCAATACAACAGAAACAAAAGTCAGAAGAACAAATGTGGCCCAAAGGCGCTATTTAAAGGTTGATGCTATATAGGCCAAAATTGAACTCAGTGTTTTTTTTTAGATTTTGCTACTATAAAATGTATGAACTTCCACTCCCATTCTGGAAGTTTTAAGTGGCCAAGTTAAAAAAAAAACAACTGCCGATCTAACTAAGTTACTTAGTTAATGAAATCAGACTCAGGAGCAGGTCAACACAATATTTTGTGCCTTTGGGGAACCTGTTTGTTAGGAAGGCTTTCTCAACCTTCTGGCTAGGCAGAGGACTTCTATGTAGGTACAGCTGAGATGAATTAAAGGCTTGCCTTTACAGCAGGGGTGTCAAACTCGCAATGTCATGTGACATGTCGTGACGTATCACAACTTTTTTTCCATTGCCGGCAATGGGGTGGGCGCAGTTTCAGAATGACGCATCCGGCCTGCGGGCCGGCAGTTTGACACCCCTGCTTTACAGTTATAAAATCCAAGGAGATGGCCATCTTGATTAAACAAGGAACACTGACTCAGCATTGACTTATGAAGCAGCAAAGAGTAGCAAGATGCTTTAAAGGTGACTCCATGCTCTGTAGTATAAGCTGTCATACATCAGAGCTCTCTCCTTCTGATAGCAATGGCGCTTAGATTTATATAGTACTTCACAGTGTTTTATAGCCCTCTCTAAGCGGTTTACAGAGCCAGCATATTGCTCCCCAACCATCATGGTCCTCATTTTACTGACCTCGGAAGGATGGAAGGCTGAGTCAACCTTGAACCCGGTGAGAATTGAACTGCAAAACTGCTGGCAGCCGGCAGTCAGCAGAATTAGCCTGCAGTACTGCATTCTAACCACTGTGCTACCATGGCTCTTCAATTGCATGAAACAAAAAAATGTTGGTGTGTATATGCATATGGAAGCCAGCGTGGGGTAGTGGTTCAGGAACTAGACTAGAAACCAGGAGACTGTGAGTTCTAGTCACATCCTAGGCACGAAGCCCACTAAATGATTTTGGGCCAGTTCCTCCATCTCAGCCCTAGGAAGAAAGCAATGGCAAACCAATGATTCCCACCTATCAGTTCTTATAAGGAACAACAGAAACTACTGCTGGGAAATTGTGCCAAATAAATGGCTGCTATTTTTTTTCAAAAAGAAAAGGCAACAGCAAATGGTTTGATGGAGGGTTACCAAGGCACTTCCCGAAATGGTCAATAACTTGAAATTCTTTCCCCAATTTCCCCCAATTGGAGGAATCTCTCCCCCCCTCCAATTTCCCCCAATTCCCTCTAAATAACCTCAGGAACTCCCCTTCAACAGACAGGACATACTTCCGTACCAGGCCAATTATGCCAGCTCCGATCCCAATTAGGGGACTGACTGCGATAATAACCAAGGTCAACTTCCAGCCTCTGACAAATCCTAGCAGGAATCCACAAACAAAGGTGGTGAAGCGCTGGATAAAGATTGCTACTTGATCAGCAATAGCATCATTTATTTTATTAATGTCACTGTGGAGAACAAGAAAAGTTGAAGCAGCAGATACATTTTGCCTTCATTACAATTCCCAACGCGCATGAAAAGATATCACTCCTTTCTACACTGGGGAAATGTGGATGAGAATGATTCATCGTGGTAATTATTCATCTGATCACTCTTTTATCTGGGGAGTTTATTTCCTGTATGTAAGATTAACCTTAAACTTGGTGCGGGCAGAGGGTCTTATATTTCCAAGTATTTTGCCCTGCTGGAGTATTCCCACCAAGATTCTATGAAATGTAAGCTTCTATTTTTCATCCTCCCCTCCACCCCCACCCCAGTAGCTGACAATTGGTTGGACCCTCTGCAGAGATTCTGCTTAACAAGGCCAAGATGGGGAAAATAAAATTTGCACAGATGCTTGTAAAGCATTAACAGCTTCTGAAGAATGCCTGTCCAGATGGACATCTGTGGAGATTCTCAATCATCCAGGTCATAGTTGTCTCAAAGGTGCCTTTTCAAAAGGCAACTGGACTGTTTTTTCTTGAGGAAGATGTTTCTCTTCTCATCCAAGAAGCTTCATTGGTTCTGGTGGGATGGTGGGGGTGATGGAAGGATTAGTTCTGATTGGATGTGGGGGGGAGTGTTGAAGGATCATATTTCTTTGCAGTCATCTGGCCAGATGGACTTTCCTCAGATATTTTTATCCATCCAGAATAGGAGTCCCCAACACCCAGGCAATGGCCCACTACTGGACTGTGAGCTGTTCGGAACCAGGCCGTGGAAGCTGAACCACTCACATAGAACTATCCCCTCTTTTCCCTCCCCCCCGCCAGTAGGCAAAGCCGGAAAGATTGGGGAACTCTGATCTAGAAAAATGTCTAAGTGCCATCTTTCTCTTATTAGCTCCATGTGATTCAACCACTCTCTGCTCAGTCTAGGGTTGCCGCTATCATTATTCCTATATTGACATCTCAACACTCCCACAAAATATTGGGTCTCACAAGGCAAGAAACAGGGCCTATCAGGCAGGTGGTAATGGCAGGGCTGGCCCTGTCAACAGCAACTTCATAAAGCCATTTGCAGGCTTGCTATGGATAACAGTTGTGCCAGTCCAGTGGACACGTTGGCACAGCTGAGAATCAAGCTGGTAGAAATAACTTTTTAAACATTCGCTGACTTTCCAGAGTCTGTCAATTGATATGTAGTCCCATCAGTGGCTATCACGAGTTACTCACTCAGAAATTCGTGTATTGAGTTCCCCCACGGATGTACAATCAAACCAGCCTATGTCCATCCTCATGATTTTCCTGAAATAGGCTTTTCGGATCTGTTGGGTCTGGCGAGCAGCTGAGGTTACCCATAAGCAGATCTAACAAAAAGGGTTGGGTGGGATGGAGAAACACTATTAGAAGATAGACAACCTTTCCTTGATTACAAAAGCACAATGCCCAACTGATGGCGCAGTGAGTTAAATGGAAAACAATCTCAATATTCCTAGCATTGATTTTATGCCTTCTGCTACCATTATCTTGCAATATATATATATATATTACACATTGTGTTGAAGGACTTGTTTTGGCTTGCAAATGGATCCCCATGTTTTATAAATAAATGGATGTCTGTTCAGTCACCCCAGTCCCAAAGCTGATATTTGTTTCTGATCAAAAATTTGTCTCTGATCAAGAAGGCATACAGTTCTTATTTCCATAACGGTCTATCATTTTGTCCACAGAGATGTCCATGCATGTAAGAAGTGAGAAGAAAGGAAGGCTATGTATTAATGCACAGTACTTTGCATGACTCAACTTGAATTAATATTACTTATTTAACATTTATGTAAATCAACAGTGACATAGGAACTGCCTGTTTCAGGAGTTTATGGTAGAAAAATGGCTTATATCAGACATGTCAAACCCGTGACGTCACGTGACATTGCGCAACGTATCGGGCCGGTTTTGCCATTGCCAGCAATGGGGTGGGTGCGACTTCTGGATGATGCGTCCGGCCCGCGGGGTGGCAGTTTGACACCCCTGGCTTATATGATACAGAAAGTGTTACTGATTTCCAAATCAATTATGTTAATAGGGTCTTGAATTGTCATGAATCTCAGTTGTTAAATAGCTGACTTCTTTTCCCTTCTGGAGTGGGGAGGAAAATGAAGGACTAGAAGTAAATACTGACTTGGAGGTATCCAAGCACTAGAACAGCACAGCCCGTTCCTGCATAGGAACTTGCAAAATAGATCATTTGACTTTCAATATCCAGCAACCTATGAAGAAAAGAAGAAAAATTAATCAGGACCGAAACATCTCAAGAGCCAAGTCTCATGAAAAGCCCATTTTATTTTGGGTTAATTAAATATAAGTGAAGGATATAATTTTGGAATCCTAAGGTTTGTCATTTCAGAGAATCAATTTAAATGTGTGGGCTAAATTGGCGGAGCGAATAGCACAGCAACTGGAATTGTCTTACAATCAACTACAGTAGCTGCATTGATTGCTAAAGATCGGTCATGAATCCACAGAGGGCAGAATAATTCATAGCACAAGTGTAGACTGAAAACATAATATGACATCTGTAGACAGGCAGTGTGACAAAATGGCTCCAGCAACTGTATCTATTTCTGTAACTCCACACCGGCATTAAAAGATGACTTATTCAAAAAGAGTAAAGCAGGTAAAATAATCAATTTTTTAAACCAAAAAAGTGCTCTAATTTCAAACAGCAACACTGACAAGGATGCTTTTTAATGCCAAATATCCAATAACATGCATTACCTATATGCATTACCATATGCCACTGATTGCATTGTAAAAGCAGACACTTTCCTAAGGCTACAGAAAATTTATATGCTCTTGAATTTCTGATCTTCATGGGATGATGACAGTTAAGAGTCACACTGTTTTAAGCAGTTACAGTTTTAGGAATTAAAACTGTTCTGATTTCCCCAACAAATTAAAGGCCAGCATTTGCATATATTCAATAAGGCTGATTTTACAGTGCTCTTTCCTATGGGCATCAAGGAGAGATGTTTCGGAGTAAGTACGGTGATATGAGAACTTGAAGATCAATATGCAGTTAATTAATACACCCAGTTCAAATTCATTTTAAATTTGTTGCAATTAGATTCACATTAAAAATGTGTGATTTGAAAGGGTATGGCTCTGTTCCAAACTGTGATCAACCTGCTTCAAGAGTCCATTCAAAAAATAGTCAATTGACTATATAATTAAGGAAACATCATACCACCTACAGCTATTTCAATTTTTGTCAGGATAAGATGAACATGTGAGTCATGAAGAAAATATAGTTCTGCATTTCTTTTGTCGCCTATCCCGACCTTACCTATTATTACACTTTGCTAACAAAGCAAGTTCACAATTTTAGTCTTACAGAAATCAAAGCATCTTCAAGAATCCACTCTATGTATATTAACCAACAGTCTACCATGTTCCAAACAGCAATAACTCCACCCCTATGTAAGATACGATTCCAAAGCAGAAAACAACTGATTCTCTTCTTTTTCCAACATCCCTTGCTGATACTTTCTCCACCTTTTCTTTAGGGTCCAGGGACAAAAACCTGCCATCTATTCAAACAGTGGGATATTTAAGTATAATGGAGGAAGAAAAGAGATCTCTTCTTTAAAATCCACTTTCTTTCCAGCTCTTCTTTCAGACAACGCTGGCTTTGGTATTTTCTCAGCACTAACTACTGCAATAGGTTGATGATTTGCATATAAATGAAGTAGGGCTTAATATTGGCTTCTCAAAGTTCCAGGTTTATTAAAGCCTCTGTTGCTTCACTAAATATTTGAGACTGGACAAATGTTTCCCATTCAATACACTATCCTCAGAGGTAGTATAGCTAGTTGTTGTTTAGTGACCAAAATTGGGACTGGCAACTTAGTCATTAAGCAAAACAGTCACTAAGTGAAACCGCAACTGTGTTTTTGATCTTAATCAGCTTTTGTTTGCTTTATGGATCTGTGAAGGTCATAAATGTGAGGAGTTGTTGTAAAGATACTTTTTCATCCCCATTCTAACTGAAAATGCCACTAAATCAGTGGTTCTCAACCTTTTTAATGCCGCGACCCCAACCGGTCGTAAGTCGAGGACTAAACCGGTCGTATGTCGAGGACTAAACCGGTCGTATGTCGAGGACTAAACTGGTCGTAAGTCGAGGACTACCCAACTGGTCGTAAGTCAAGGACTTTCCCTGCCCGGGAGTGTCGCGCATGCTTGGTTCCGCCCCCTGCGCCAGCTGAGGCGTAGCTGGCAAGCGGCAGAGACGGAGCAGGCTGACCACCAGCTGGCCCAGCCCAAGGGAGGTAAGGCACCCGCTGGAAAAGGGGGAAAAAATGGCAGACAAAAAAATGGCGGACAGCCTTGCTTGGCGACCCCCATGAAATGGTCGATCGACCCCAAATAGGGTCCCGACCCACAGGTTGAGAACCACTGCACTAAATGAAGATTGCTTATAAAGTAAACCGATGAAGTCCACCTTAATCATACTGACAACCTTTATTCATACTGACATTTTTCCCCAGAAAGACTAAGACACGACCCTTTCCCTCTGAACAAAATTGGCTGAAAATGATATACACACAGCTTCTTGTTCCCAAATAGAGTTAAACAAATGTCAACTTTTTCCCAGTCAGGACTTCCTGCGGAAACTCCAAGAATATTTAATTATGTCTGGAAAAGGATTTCAGGCCAACTTTTTATGCAGAAACAAATAAATTACTCATACATTTCAAAAATTGTATTTCATTTATAACTCAAGAAAACAAACAACTATCCCATCACAAGCATAAAACTACTTCTGGAAAAGTACACAATGAACTTAATAAGCAAAAAAGCAAGTACTATATACTAATTCCTCAACAAAAGCTCTTAAAGAAACCACTCAATTATCCAGCGATCCCACCCTGAGTACATTCCTAACCATTGTTTCAAGCTACGGGGAGTTAAGCAACTGTCTTACTGTTTGTAAAAGAGACAAAACCATAAAATAAAAAGAAGAGGAAAAGATACATATGTTTTCCCAAAGCTCCATCTTGGTTTTTGGCCTCTCCTTCTTTCTGGCAGCAGGGACCCAAGCATCTTCCCAGCAACCCCTCCTGGAGATGCAACAAGCCACTCATTTGCATGCATGGGAAAGATATGGGTCCCTCAAGCCCCCTCTTGATAGAGCCCGCCTTGCAGAAATCACCCATCACACATTTCAATTTGAAGACAGGAAATTTGAAGGAGGAGGAGGAGGAGGAGGAGGAGGAAGAGGAGGAGGAGGCATATTTTCAGTCTTGAGGTTTGACGGCAAAAGGATTTCATTCCAGATGGTTCAAGATTTTAGTTCCAGAAAATCATGTGTAATCTAACAAGAAAGCATCCTAATGGCTGCTTCAGTTTTTGGCAGCATGTTAGCCGTATTCCCAGAGGGACAATCAATTTTGACCTGCTGTAATGTTAAACCATGAGTTCACGTTCTCAAGGAGAAAAATGAATTTGAAGGGTCTAGTCTTAATAGTACTGATTATCCCTCAGAAAAAATAAAGCTGTTCTTACTTGCAAAAGAAATAAAACTAACTTGCATCGAGTACAATCTTATTTATTCTCCCCACATAATAAACCATACCTACAAGATTTAGCCCACCAGATAATAACAAAAACAAATCTGACTATATGTATTCTAACTCTTATTATTATCCTATTGTTCACCACCAGATCATTTAACAATGTATGATAAAGTGGAAAAAGATAATTCAACTTGTATCAACTTATACCAGCTTCCTCTGACATCCTTTTAGGCTACAGTGAGTGCAGCATTTCTCTCCCACCTCTGGAACAGATTGCTCATTTGTATATGAAAGAGAGACTCATCAAGATTTTCCTCCATATTTGTCCACAGGCTCTTAGGGGGAAATTCAAAGTAACTGAAATTGCTTTTGGGGGGGGCAGAATAGGCTGAAAATAGCAGGCATTAAAGCCTCTTTAATGGGCATCAACCCTGGCAAATTTCAGCCGGATGCATTCAATGGTTTTAACACTATCGTTTTTTGAAATACTGTACCTTCTTGATTTCACAAGAAAAGAGAAACAAACAACTTCCCCATTGCCTAGCTATAGCAAAGCTGGTTGAAACCACACACACCCCCAAAAGAGAGACAACTCCAATTTTAAAATATAGGTTTTCCAAAACTTTGGGCTTTTGACTGTAAATAAAATTAAGCTGAAAGTTTTCCAAAACTGTCTTGTTCTGCTGGGATACTAGGTTTGATCTGACCCCTGCTGCACAATCTTCCGTCATCCGCTTCTGGGGCACCAAGAAGGTTGGTGTAGCGTGTTGGCAAGTCTGCCGCCCTCCGCCCCCCCTCACAAGCTTTGATGGACTGCCAGACTGAGCAGCTTCTAAACAGAACAGCCATGTAAGCTGCTTGTTGGGCGCTGAAGATTTCCTGTGCCTCATCACTGAATCTTTGAGGGGTGTCAAGATGATCTGCATAACTGGCAATGTGCTACATGGCAAAGAAAGCAGAAATGGTGGCCCAGTGAGATACAATGCCAGAGGGCCTGTTTGGTCTAGTGGTGAAAGCACCAAGCTAGAAGCCAGGAGACTGTGAGTTCTAGTCCTGCCTTAGGCATGAAAGCTAACTGGGTGACCTTGAACCAGTCACTCGCTCTCAGCCCAACTCATCTTACATGGTTGTTGTGGGGAAAGTAGGAGGAGAAAAGAGTTTTAGTATATTCCCTGTCTTGAGTTATTTATAGAAAATAATAAGGGCAGGAAATGAATAAATTATAAGATTAAATGTGCAAGCCACAGAGAAAAAAACATTCTTCAAGTCTTGCCATACCCCATTTTAAAAGCAGGAAGTGTTGGAAGCCGCTGTTACTGGGCAGCCATATCCTCACCAGTAAGAGGGTTCAGTTCAACCTCTCCCCATCCTGCAGATCTTAAAAATGAAACATGACTCAAGAGGGCTCACAGCGCCATTGGCAAGCTGATTAAGCCAGCACTGCTTTGTTTGCATTCTGTGACAAAATGGCAAAAACCGGAAGAGCTTGGGATGCCCAAGATGGCCGCAGCAAATGTGCAATCAAAACCCCGCCCCTTTGTACCTGCATCAGTGCCCCGCGCATGTACCAAGGGACAGAACCTCAATCGCCTCTGGATTTGTTCTATTTCTGTGATTTAAAGGGATGCCCTTGGAGAGGGTTTTCTCCCTCTGTAACCAGAACTGGGTTGCTTGACACAAATGCCAACGTC